ATAGCTATAGCAATAGCAATAGCAATAGCAATAGCTAATAGCTATATAGCTATAGTATAAGATTCAACTACGAAGTTCACATGGTGCATTCCCAAAAAGATGAAAATCTGCATGAAGATCGGAGGACAAACTACAAATTAAGCGAAAAAGTGAATAAATAAGGAAGGTCATGCAGGATGATCACCACTTCAGAAATATACTATCGCCAAATAGAAATTTTCAAAATGCAATTTCTCAATCAATTTGGCGTAAAAAATTACGAAATTACTATCAAAATGTTTGTCTGCTGAAAAAAGAAGGAAAATTTAGAAAAAATAACAAAAATAAGACAAGAGAAAAGAGAAGAAAAGGAAAGACAGAAAGGAAGATCGGAAGATCAAACTCATCAAAGTAAGGGTTTATATAAAAAACAAAAAACGTATCATAACAAAACAATAAACAATCACGTGATCTCGTGTTATGATACGAGATTTTTGTAAAATTATTTTCTAAAAATATTAAGTTTAAAAATTCCGTATACATTCCGTATGATTAATTTTTTCCATATATTTAAAAAATGTTCAAAAATGAATTGCTTATTTAAATATACGGAATTTGTATACGGAATCTATAGAAACGTACATAAAATGTATACAAAACGTATCCTTTCCGTATACATATTTATTATAGGGCAAGTTGGTTTATACGATTACAAGATCTTGGCCTTATTGCGGATAGTTATCAAAAGTTACTTAATCAACCAGCCTTTCTATCGCCCTAAGAATGAATGGACGATCCATCTATATAAAAGGTTAAAGTAGAAAAGGAACTAAAAGTAATAACTAGAGTACGTAGCAAACTAATAGTGTTTTGATTTCCTAAAAATAAATTTTCTATATATAAGGAAGAATGTGAGTGAAGATTAAGTGAAGATTAATATTAGGGCCAATAAATTCATATCGGCATTGATTGAAGAATTTTCCTCGCCATCAATAGAACTTTGCTGAAACGTATTAAATTGTGCCAGAATAGTAAACAAATCGCGAATTTTAGTAATCAATCTAGTCTATATGCAGTTACTGCGCATTAAGTCGATCACCGATCTATTTTTCAACCAATCCAACAAATCGTCACGAATCTATTATCAAAATCGTTACGACTTTTAAAAATAATTTTAACTACATTTATAAAATTTAGTAAACGTAATGTATAATTGTATAAATATATTGTAATTGCATTATTAAGACTTCGCAAATAGATTGTTAAATTTGGTAAATATGAAATAATACATTATAACCTTGAGTAAATACTTGTTTCTTATATGTCAATACTTTTCAAATCCGTGACTTAAGAATCCAACGCTTAATTTGAAGTTAGAATCTACAAAGAAAAAAAAGAAACTTTAATAAAAATTTCTTTAAGAAAAATAAAAAGAAACAAGTTTTGTGGTCAAAATTTACCCATGGATTCAAAGCCAAAATCCTGCTCGCCATCTTAATTTTATTATAATCTCCATTTCGGTAATGGAAGGGGAAGTAGACTTTGCGTAGAGCCCGATTTATATTGATTCAAAGGTCCTTCAATTGTTCCAGCAAGAATAGGAATGAAATAAATGTTTGCAGGTGAACTACACATAACTCCTCCAATGCCATTAATAAGTGTCCTAAAGGCTTTTGGATTGTTATCGTGCAATTAGTTTAACTCGTCAATACCAAGAACCAGGACAAGCAGAGGATTAGATTTTATTTCTTGATTCTTTTGTATAATAACATCAGCATAAACAACTCGGATAGCAGTGCTCAGAGTAAAGTATGAAATGTTCGAATAATTATTGCAGAGTGATTGAAAGTGAGAAAAATCGTAATCGCCAAAGTCATGTTTAGGTTTAAAGTACTCAAACAGAATACGAATTGCAAGAGATGCCTCAGCACCAATTGTTACATCCATATCTCTAGCAGGGCATCCATTCCCGTAGGTGGTGTTTATGACTGTCATATTGGTGAAAGCATCCCGTATTTCATCATCATCAGACTCATTAGCATATTGAACGAGCAATCGTTCAACTTCATCCAGAAATCTGCTTTTTCCAACTCCAGGTCCGCCCGCTAAAACAGGAATTGGATGAAGGCCTTTGTCACTTACATTACGATTTTTAAATCGGGCTGCGATTCCATCTAACATTGTAAGACCATTCCAAAGGGCATCAATAGTGTCATCTCTTTGAAGAAACTTAAAGTCTTTGCCATAAGTTTTAACGAGCTGAAAAGGTCAATTTGATTTTAGTCAAAGAAACTAAGAAATACATTAATAAGGAGATGACAAAGCTTGAAAACTTACTAGGTCTCGACCACGGTTCAATGTGAATTGTTTTATCCATTTGTAAATGGAAGAATCGACATTCCAATTAGGTCCTAAAAACCAATAATAAGTAAGAGATTTGTTATAAATTTCTTTGACATCATTCCAGGCCAATAAAAAAAGAGATCAGACCAAATCGATGTTTTGTTACTGCAAATTTCTTGTTCGAGAGGTAAAACGTTGAGAGACACTTACCAGTGGAGGTAGGGACTATAAAGATATGAATACCCTCGATATCCATTTCTTGATTAACATCGAAATATCTTTTAAGCGGGAATCGAGCAACCATCTCTTTGCCTCCGAGTTTTTCAATGATGTCACTTTTAGTAAATTCTTTAAGATTGTTTTCTTCTTCAACTTTCTTGTCGTCAACTTTCCAAAGATTCATTTCTCCAGTATTTCGAAATATATCTTTTACTTCTCCCCTATGAAAGAGCTTCTCCGTGAAGTTTGAAACTGTAAATTTAGAAAATTTGATTGCAACACCACTATCATTTTTATATGTTTCGCCAATGTTTTCAGTGAAACATCTTTCGGAAGCTTGTCCTAGAATCAGACAATTAAGCGACAACATCATTTTGTGTCTGTAATTTTTCAGAAAAGTTTTAAGAAAATTTGAGCAGAGAAATTCTTGTGAGTTTAAGAAATGAGAAAGTTTGGGAGGTCTAAGATATATATACTTTATATACTTTTCTGAATACATCGGGATTTATCTTTATAAACTCTTAGTTGGTGACACGAAATATGATATAATGATATGTTTATAAAATTAATTGAAAAAAAGTGATTCATTACGATTTTATCATTACTCAGTTTGTAATTAAGTTGGTAGTACCGGCACGTAATAAACTTATTAGTATGACAATATCTGTATTTTTTTAATTATTGTATATTTAATTCCATATGGAGTAATGAATCATCAATAAAAGTTTAGATTAAAATTCGTCTTTTCTCACATGTAATTCTTATTGTTTACCAATAGGGAATAAATATTTAATAATAATAGTCGCAGTCACGTTGTGAAAATTAGCAGTTCCCAACTTTATTGATTTTTTTAAATCTCAGAAGTGAGTTACAGAGAAACATATGATGCTATCAAAAAGGGAGGGAACGCCAATATATAACAAAAGGAGTAATATGTCCATTATATTTTGGAACATCTAAAGAGATAAGAAAATCAATTAATATCGTGATAACATGTTTCAAGAAGCTAATCTGAACTACAAACTAACCTACCTTATTATTACTTTTGCAGAATATACAGATTGTAAATATCAATGATTATTTTCATTTGATTTTTCGCTTGATTATTGCAAAAAATAATTTGCTCTTTTTGGGGAAAATAAAAGAATTTAACGCTATCCATATATACTGTAAAGATCATTAAGGGTTAGAATGTGCGAGAATTAATTATTTCCTTGTTCCGGTAATACATGTGAGTATTTATTTATCAAACTACAATAAAGAAAAAATAGTACTGGTTTATTGATCATATGAAAAGAATATAAAATACAGGTTGTAGCCTGCTATATGACAATACTATTTATTCAGTGTATTCTCTTTTTACAAGATAAGTCCGCTAATAATACCTTCGGTTCACAGACTCATCACGTGACTTTCTACAGAATAAAATATGTTATACTCACAATTAGTAATTTATCTGAAGCCCCCGTCAGTTGATTCACTTATTTAAATAAATACTCTCATCGTATTAATTACATCGTGTCATTATAAGCCACTGATCTTTTATTATTATAAATCTCCCGCCCCGCAGATTTTTAGCAAACATGTATTGTATGGTTAGCTTTGTATTTATTGTATTATTAAAACTTTTTAATGTATGTAATGTATGGTTTTTTTCCAATTATGTATGTATTGTATGATCAATGTGGTAATTTCATGTATTGTTTGATTTAAGGATAACGTCTTGTCAACAATTTTTATTACCAAATTTAACGATTTACCACTTTTTTCATAATGATTGAGTACTGGCTAAAACAATTCAACGCGTATTATTATAATCTTTCTTTTTATTTAAAATTTCTACCGTGTTTATTACTACTTTTTCATTTAAAAAAATTTAAAAATAAATATTTCTATCGCGTTTTTATTGCTACAATCTTCTCTTTTCTTTTCATTTAAAATATTTCTATTACGTTTATTACTATATCTAAAGTAAATCCTGTTATTCTTTCAGATATTGAGACTATATCTGATGACGAAACTATATCTGAAAATGAAATTTAATTCTTTATGAGTCATCATCTATGAATATATTTTAAATAAAAAATGCTTAAATTTTTTTTTTTTTTTTTTTTTGTAAATCCTATGGCGAAAATAAGTATGCCATACATAGCATGCGTTCATTTTTAATATCCATACATGTATGGACACAATCAAAGCATACATAAGCATACAATACATACAACGTTAAGCATACACTACATGTTTTATAATCACCTAGATTTGTACTAATTAAACACGTCCCAACCCAACTACCCCAAGAACACCACCAAAAAATCTTCTGTAACGTGACTTGACGAGTTTTATTGGTCAGATTTAGTTTGTACACCATTATCTTAGAAAAATTTTCGCGGCTTTTTTCAAGAAAAATAATAAACTGAGGGAACTTTTATCTTAAAAATACTTGTAGTTTCTATAAAAAAAAAATATAAAGAAACGTTTAATTTAAATATTTCTTATCAGTTATAGTCCTTTTCACTTTAAAAAATTTATTGTTTTTTTTATTAAAATAAGTAAAGAAATTATTTATTATTTTAGAAATTTAACAATAAATCTTCGTGTTATTTATATAATTTAATAATAATAATAAAAAGATAATTTTATAATATATTAAATGGAAAAAGTCTTATTCTTATTCAAGACTTGATAGTTCACCCAAGGTTCATCAGAAAGTCACGGAAAAATGTACATTACAATCATTACATGTACATTTATGCAAATCATGTACTATATTGCAATATTCATACACTATCCTATATTGGGCGTAATACGGGATAGGACTAGAGTTTCATTTAATTAGAAGTAAGGGTCTGGCCTAGCTTCGGCTCTTACAGATGATAGGTTCTATGTTAGACGGGTCGTTCCATATGTATGGTCGATGATGTCTTTTTGATAACTCTTCCAACTTCACAATAAATAAATAAATAAATAAATATTGCAATATTCATTCTTTTTAATGTATAAGTAATATTTCATATTGATAATATCCATCATCTGCAACATCTAGTAATAAACATTCGCTGTACATAATACTGATGTTGAGTGATGTACATTATACTTTTTATTTTATTTTATTCAATATAGATGTAGACTGAGGTGATAACAAAGAAATTCCTGTAAGTTAGCACCATTACAAATAGTGAAATAAACTATACGAAAGTTGACACCCAACCTCCTAATGGAGTTGTCCTGCCTGTTATTAAAAATTATAGGCGGGCATGACCTAATGTCTAGACTATATCATAGAATAAACTGGAAAAAGAAATAATAAAACTATCTAAATTGTAAAAAAATGAAAAATAAGAAAAAAAATTAAAAATCTATATGATCATTGTAAAAACATTAAGTACTAGGATATGTAGGTCCATCCAGAACCCAGAAATATATATGGGCTCTTTGCAATGGAAAAGGGGAAAACTACTAAAAAAAAATTTTTTTAGTTAATATTAAAATATTTGGAGCATTTTTAGTATATAAATATAAATTTAATTTTTTTGGTAGTTTCCCCATTTCTATTGCAAAGAGCCCATATATAGGGGTCATCAGGTGGCAAAAAATTTTTTTACTATAAGCTGTATGCAGAAACTTTTTATATGAGTAGTACGTATAATAAACATGTAGTGTATGCTTGACGTTGTATGTATTGTATGCTTATGTATGCTTTTATTGTATCCATACATGTATGGATATTAAAAATGAACGTATGCTATGTATGGCATACTTATTTTTCGCCATACATAAGATTTGGATTTACAAACAGAAAATTTTATTTTTTATTATAAATAAAATAAATATTCATAATAATGTAATACTAGAGATAATGCAAACATTTACAATATTCATAGATGATGACTCATAAGGAATTAAATTTCATTTTCTGATATAGTTTCGTCATCAGATACAGTCTCAATATCTGAAAGAATAACTTAAACATATAATAAACGTAATAAAAATATTTTAAATGAAAAAAGAGAAGTTTGTAGTAATAAAAACGCGATAGAAATATTTATTTTAAATTTTTTAAATGAAAAAGTAGTAATAAACATGGTAGAAATACTTATTTTTAAATAAAAAGAAAAGAAAGATTATAATAATATGAGTTGAATTGTTTTAGCCAGTACACAATCATAATGAAAAATGTGAAATAGTTAAATTTGGTAATAATAAGTGTGGCAAGAAGTTATCCTTAAATCAAACAATAACCATATTTATCATACAATACATACATAATTGAAAAAAGACAATACATTACATACATTAAAAAGTTTTAATAATACAATACATACAAAGCTAACCATACAATACATGTTTGCTATATACCCAATTCATTTTTACCTTCTGAAATAATATTGTTAAATCTATATGTGTATATATATTGGATATATATCAATTGATTCATCTCCATTTTGCAAGAATTGTTGTATTTTTTTCATATACTTTCATCTAGATAGATTCCAAGAGTTTGGAATAAACTTGTATCTACTACTCTGTTTAGTTACTATTTATTTATTTTATGGATAGTTAAGAGAACTACATTGATACTTTATAGACTAAAAAGACATTATAAAAAAACATAATATTGAACTTCACCCAATTAAAATCAAGCCCTAACTAAAATTAAATGTCAACTATCAAGAAACCTGACCGAATCAAGACAGTACTACTCTGTTTAGTTACTATGTTTAGATAAGCATTATTATTATGATTTATTTATTACTAGTATTTTGTAAAATTTCATTCTTATAAACTTATATATAATATTTTTAATGACACTAGAAGCTATTTTGAAGCTTATAATTTTAATCCAAATTCATTGGTCAATACTGATGTGAACTTGATATGAATATGTAGGGCCATGTTCCATAAAAACTCTATTAGAGTGATTCATAAAAAACAGATCCAGGAGTTTGAGTGAAAACTGTAACATTGACAAGTCTACTGAATTGAATGCTTTGGAAATATCTTGGGATTTTTACCTTTGAATTTTTTTTGAAATTATTATTTCTTTAAAATTTATACCATTATCTATTCTGTAAGTTTTAAAAATTAACATTTAAGGGTGAAACAATAAGAAATAATAAAAATTAATTTATAATAGCTTATTTTATGGAAGACCTTTTATTTTTTGGCTATTAATAGCTGTAATGGCTATAATAGCTGTAATAGCTGTGTATAATGTTATTTAGTAAGTCTATTCTTTTCATGGCTAATTAGACCATTCAAGCAAGCTAATAGAGTCAAATGCTTTATTAATATTTCATAAAACAATCCAGAATTCCTTGCAGTTAATTTTGGTATCTTCAATTAGTACATTGATATGATGGGATGGATTGGTGTGGATTATAGC